TAACTAACCAGGGTACATTTCTAACCAAACCAGATGACATCACTAACCAACCAGGTTACATCAATAACTAACCAGGTTACATTTCTAACCAACCCAGATGACATCACTAACTAACCAGGTTACATCACTAACCAACTCTGGTTAGTAATGAGTTGCCTAGCGGCGTGCAGACTAACCTGTCCTTGTGCTTCCTTCCAGAGGCTGGAGGCGGACCTCTCCTACTGGAAGGACCAATGGCGTTCCTCCGATCAGGGGCGCCAGCATCACTATGATGAGAATGCCGCCGTGGCGCCGCGAGACTCCGCCTCCTACAGACATGGAGCCAACGTCAACTACGACTATTATTGATTATTGATCAGTCACACAGTCAGACTGATGCTCTGGTTTTATCACAGCAGGACAATAAATAAAGACAATAAATGATCAATTGATTGATTGATTGGTGTTTGGGCTGAGGGGTTGGGGCACAGTCCCGAGGGGGCGGGGCATATGGCTGAGGGGGGCGGGGCACACGCCTTGTGTCTCTGAGGTCAGGTAGAGCTCCTGGTTGTATCTCAGTCCGGCTCAATCAGTTGATGAAATGTAATAAAGAACGTTTGCTAATCTGAGGACAAGCGTTTCATTTCCTCCGTCAGTTTTAAATCCTCAGAAATGAGAGGATTTGAAGATGCCGGTGGAGCTCTGTTCTCCTTTATGTTCCCTGTAGGTTGCTGTGACGTTGAGGGAATGTTCCTGCCCTAAAGGGGAGGTGGGTTTCTCTCCAGGTGTCTCCAGGTATCTCCAGGTGTCTCCAGGCCCCTCCTTGTGGACTCTCCCTGACCCTTGCTGTCCCTCCAGGCATCGTTTCGCTGGTCTCGCTGTCCGTCCTGTCCTACGACCGCTACTCCACCCTGCTGGTGTCCAACCCGCGGTCAGCGGCCTCCCGGCGGCCGCTGCTGGCGGTGGGTGGGGCCTGGCTGTACTCGCTGTGGACGCTGCCCCCCCTGCTGGGCTGGAGCTGCTATGGCCTGGACGGCACGGAGACCAGCTGGGCCCAGAGGACGGCGCGCTGCACTCCTTCCTGGTGGGTCTGTTCGGGTTCTGCCTCGGCCTGCCTGTCCTCGTCATGGTCTACTGCTACGGACACCTGCTGTGCGCCGTCCGACAGGTGAGGCCCTGGCAGCCAATCAGAGGGCAGCTCAGGCGCCGCCCTGCTGGCCCGTGTAGTCTTTGACAAAACAAATTAGTATTTTTCTGAGAGACATGATGAAACTTTTGAAGGTTTTTCCTGACGTCTGGGTTTGGTCGTCAGGCGGGCCGGGTCAGGCGGGCCGGGTCAGGCGCTCGGCGGCGAGACGTCCACGTCCTGCTGATGGTCGGTGGTGTACTTCCTGCTCCGCTGGGGGCCGTACGGCGGCGTGGCCATGATGGTCGCCTTCGGCAGCCGGGCCTGGTCGGCCAGCGTGGTGCCGTCCATCCCGGCCAGGAGCAGCACCGTCATCAACTGGGTCAGCTACATCCTCTTGAACAAGCAGGTGAGCTGAGAGCAGCGCCACCCGGTGGAGAGTATGAACAGTGTATAAACAGGGAACTATGTGTTTGGTCTGGAATAAGTCAGAACATCAACAAGAATAAATATGATCAATAAAAAGTATAAAATATGAAAAACTGATTCAGAAAAAGGTTAAAAACAAAACTGATCAATAAACAAACTTAAAATATGAAACCAGGTCGATATTAAATAAAAATAAAATACATGTAGAAAAATAAAAACAACAAAATTATACAAATAAAAGAAAAAATATGTTTTTACAAAATCTGAAAAAGTTTCAGATTAAATGAAAACAGATTTTATGGAGAAAATATGAATAAAATATTTTTTTAAATAACAAAAACAAAAACATTCATTCAGAGACGTGAACGTTTATTTCACATCAGGTCATGAAATCATTTAATGTTAAAATGAGTTTATTAGCAGCTGAACTTCGTCCTCGTCAGAGTCACTGAAACGAACCAGAACCAGAATCAGTCAGACGTTAATAAAATGTTCTAGAACGTTAAAGTTTCTGTAGAAGTCTCGAACTTGTGAACATGTAACAAACTATTTCTGTGAAGTCTCTACATCATTAGAACAGTTAGTTCTGCTGTCACCGCCCAGCACTGGCTCCGGACGGTTCCTCTGGTAGAACCGGGTCTGCTGGCGGTCCGCTCAGGCCCCGCAGCCGACGGCGCCGAGGCCCCTCAGCGTCAGCTTGCCTTTGGCGCCCAGCTCGGCCGGCGGCCCGCGGTTCATCCTCTGGAGCAGCAGCTTCTCGTAGAGCAGCGGGTGGTAGGCGCCCAGCGTGCAGGCGTTGTCCCGGTACCGCTCGTGGTAGTGACACAGGTCGGTGCGACGGCGCGACGGGATGAACTCGAACACGCTGACCTCACGGCACAGCGACATCATCACCACGATGCCTGGAACCATCGATAAACCTCAACCAATGGACTGCATCGGTACGAGTCACGTGTCACATTCATCAGGAAGGCAAACTTTATACATGGCTTTGCTAATGAGCTAATTAGCATTTAGCAACAGTCATCAGGAAGTCAAACTTTAGTTAATGGCAGGTCTGCTAATAGTTAGCTTCTTTTGGCATTTAGTGGCATTTATCGGGAAGTCAAACTTTATTTAGCCACAGTTCTGTTAGCAGTTAGCATCTGTTAGCATTAAGCAGCTTAGTTCAGAAAGTGAATCTTTTTTAAACACAGCTAAGGCGACGATTAGTCTCTGTTAGCATTTAGCAGCATTTACCTGGAATTCGAATTTTATTTAAACAAACTCTGTTAACAATTAGCATTTATTAGCATTTAGCAGCTTATATGAGGAAGTCTCCTTGTTTAAACACAGCTCTGTTAACAGTTAGCATCTGTTCGTATTCAGGAGCTTCATTTAAATACAGCCAATTTATTGATTAGCACCTGTTAGCATTTAGCAGCATTTATTGAGAGGTCAGACTTAATTTAAACACAAATGAACGATTAGTAGCGTGTGTTAGCAATTGGCATATGTTAGCATTTAGCAACATTTTTCTGTCAAGTTTCAAGTTAATTATATTAAATTCTAATTAATTTCATTGAAAATATATTTTATTAAACGTTTACACTGACTGTAGTTTAATGTAAACGTTTTTAGAACGTTTTTAGAACATTTTCTGCTGGACTTTGGTGATTTATGACCTGTTCTTATACATGAATGAAGATGTTTCGGCTTCAGAGATAGAATTATTTTCCTGAACCCGACCCGGCAGCTCGCTGTTTGTTAGACACTGAAGATAAAAGCTTTGATGAAACAGTTTGTGTGGTTCTGTTGGTACCGATGAAGCCGGACGAGGGCGGGTTGGGCTGGATCTGATCCTCGGTGTTGTCCTGGATCAGGTCCCACAGGGTCCAGATGAACCCCGGGTGCAGGATGTAGAACGGCTGCTCGGGTCGCAGGCGGCGCCGCTCCACGTACGGCGAGAAGAGATCAAAGTCGGGCTTCTGGAACCACTGCAGGACGACAGCACGCAGAACCAGAGACTGACCCACACGTCTGAGGCCTCGCACCTGTTTACTGTTGTTTACACATTGTTTACTGTTGTTTACACATTGTTTACTGTTGTTTACACATTGTTTACTGTTGTTTACA